CAATTGGTCTCTATTCACCTGGAATAACACAACTAGTAGGAGAGTTAGGAAGAGGAGGAAACTATGGAATGTGTGGTTAATTGGCTCCATGAACAACAATTGCCTCCTCTCCCATGAGATCAGAAGAATGGGATGGTGCCTGGCTACTATTACCGAACACTGTGATCAGAGATTCCATAAAAGAATCCTGATCTAAAGAGGTAATCCAGAACAGACTTTCAAATTCTCACAGACTACAGTCTTTCTGAAGGCACAGAGGGTGGATGAACCTCAGAAACTATAGCACTCAGGTAATCTTTAAATCTTAAACCAAAAGCATCCCCTCAAGTCTTCTTAAAACCAAGTACTTCAGCTTACCTAATAAAGAAAAGTCTGGCTTTAGCATTATGCTCTTTTAAGAACTATATGGAATCAAACTGACAACAGCAAACAACATATGGGATCAAATGAAATCTGTCTTGGAAAAAGTACAGCCAGAATATTCCTTAGAAGCAAGGATGGCAAGACTTTGTCTCAAGTCCTTTGGACATGTGATTAGCAGGGAACCAGTTCCTGGAGAAGGATATTACTCTTGGTAGAGGGTCAGGGAAAAAGAGGAAGACCCTCAACCAGACGTGGTAACACTGCAACGATGGGCTTAGCAAGGATTGTGACGATGGTGCAGGACTGCACAAGGTTTTGTCCCATTATACACAGGGTCGCCACAAGTCTGAACTGACTTGACACACATCATCATAGGGGATCAACTTGACAACAGCAACTCGAAAGATGGGTTAGGATGGTTACATAATTTAAAAGAATTTAATCAATGTCACTAAATTGTGCATGTACAAACTGTTGTCTTATTACATGTATTCTCAGAAACAGCAAAATATAGAAAAAACACAGAAATACATACTTTTTCTGTTCTGTAGTGCAATGGCACAGTTAAAAAAGATGGTATGATCTACATCTAAATTTGCAATTCAGCATAATAAAATAATTTAACAATACAATAGGCATATTATTACCACAAATTCTTTACAATTCTGTTCTAAAGAAAAATTATTTTTCAAAAGAGGCACAGTTCTTCATAGTTAAATTTTAATAAAGACACAGGGCTTTTTTAAGTATGTTTCCTAGCCTCAAGATACAGTGTCCAAAAATGTATTTAAGGTGACATCCAAACATAATCACAGTAGTCTAATGTTAAAACTCTGGGAAGTGGAATTCCTATTAAAAAAAAATATATGAAACGGTATCTAAACCTAAGGAAAAAATCAGACAATGCCAAATTGAGAGAAATTCTACATGACTGGTCTGTAATCTTCTAAAGCATCAAAACTAGGAAAGTCAGGGAAAGGCTGAAGAATTGTTCCAGGATGAAGGAAACCAGGAAACAAGACAACTAAATGCAAAACGTAATTCTGAGGATTCAACAGTATTAAGGAGCTTGATCATTACATCATGGAGACTATCCTAGCTTGTAGGAAATACACACTATAAAATACTCCCTGGTGTTCAGGACCTAATACTGGCAGTTCACTATGGAACAGTTGAGGAAAAAAATTCTTTGTACTGTACCTGCAATCTTTTGTAAGATAATTTTTTTTTTTAATTATAAACATGAGGGTGACAAACACAAGAGGTTTTGTTTATAAATTAAACTTAAGAGTTACTCGCAGTCTAAATTCTAGTTAACTACTGGAAGGTAACACCAGTTTACAAGTTAAAAAAAAATAAAAATTTCCATTAATGCTTCCAAGATTTAGAACAAGCGAGTTTCCTGCCCAAAACTGCAAAACTGCAATTTAGACTCTGCCAATGTAGGCTTTTATGTCGTATATCAAACAGGGCCGGTGCAAAAACCTTCCATATATGGGATCACACAAGACTTTATTCATCATTCTATAAATTTGATAGCATTTAATCTACCTTGTGCTATAGTTATTTTATAATACAAGATAAACATAAATGAAACAACCCAGAAAAAAAAACTGAAATCACCTATGGGAAACATTAAAATGAGATACGTTGTCTATTTTTTCGTTTGTTTAAATAGCAGTAGCTGACATAATACAGTATTTTCCAGAGCTTAACCCAGAATTCTCTACATAGCTGTATTCACTTCATTTTAAGTTAACACTGTTCTGAGACACACTAACTTTCTTCACAGTGTCTCCCTGTTCCTGTCTAGTAGGAATGAAATTGTATCCACTCATTTCCAAGCCCATTTTTGGTGACAGCTATTTTTTCCTGTGATAGAAATCTGCTTCACCGGGAATTTTGGAACCATTTATCAGCTGTAAGACTTTTCCTCTCATGAGCAGATAGAAGAGAATAAAAGCCCGCAACTATTTTCAGTGAGCTTTTTGGATTTCCAAGTGATTCAATACAGAAGACGATAAACTCCATGCCTCAATTACTAGTCTAGAAATTTATGTCCCAAAACAACAAAAGCAAGAAGGCCAACTACACGATTAGCAAGAGCCAGTTACATTCATTCTAAACTCTAAAAAATCCAGAATCTGGGAAAATTTCTTTCCCTTACAGAAACCTGTGGGTTTTTCTCTTAAGATACCAACAACAATTTGCAAAACGGCATTCTTGTTGTCTACTGCTAGGCGTTATGCATCAGAACTGACTCAATGGCAGAGGGTTTGCATTTTCTAGATTAACAATAGAGTTACAGTAAAACTTAGAATGCCAGAACGTGGGTAAGGTGGAAACCTGTTACAGAAGGAAAGGCAACTAGTTATTTCCCACTAAATAGCTTAGAGAAAAGTGACTGCACCCTGCTCAGAGGCAAAAACTTGCAAGATCTTGGGGGTGGGGGAAGGTCCCAACGCATTCGGATTCACTATCACCCAAACTAAACCCTTTGCCATGGATTCCGTCGTAGTGACCCCTAGAGGATAGAGTATTACTGCCCCAGAGGGTTTCCAACGCTGTAATCTTTACGGAAACTGTAACGTCCTTCTCCCTCCAGCGACGGGTGGGTTTAACTCTCCTACCTTTCGGTTATCAGTTGATCGCTTTAACCACTGCAGCCAGGGCTCCTCTCACTGTACTATATATAGTACTAGTTAACTTCAAAAGCTCTCAAAATCTTATATATACAACGGGAACAAGCATCTTCCAGTAGCAGGAAATTCTGTGGCTAAAAACACCCAAAAACGTCTTTTAAAAAAGAAAAAAACAAATATATATATACACACACACACCACCATCCAACAACATTGATACAGATTTTAACGTATATCTCTTTCTTACAACAAGTTTTTTGCATGGAAGAAACATGCTTTCAAATACTTGGTAATTAGTATCATATTCCACTACAAAAATACTCCTGAAATAACCACACCAATGCTTAGGATTGTACCCCTCAGGCTTTGCACTATTATCACCGGAAGTACAACTTGTCAATCATGTCTTGCAAATTCCCCACCAGTAGTAGTGAGTCACCCTCTCTCCCTCAATACGTGCCTATCACTATCACACAGTAAAGATCAAAACAAAATCCTGTCTTCACTCATTCCATATCCCCCAACTGTTTATATGCTGAGGGCACGGTGCCCGCTCAATTAACTCCGGGCACGTAGCGAGGCACTCAAGAGTTAAAGTTCACCAACAGATCCTAGATGCATGCCAGCAGATCTCTGAAAAATCATTTTTCTCACTCTTTGTGTTTGAAGCGACAGCACTGCCACCAACGGCGTTAGAACATGTGACTGCCAAGAAAATTCTACGCAAATGGGATCTCTGATTTTCAGGATAATCAAATAGGGTGGCCTTTATTAGGGCAATTTGTAAACTTATTAACAAATAATTACAACAACATTATTTAAAGATTAAGGTCCACAAAGGAGGCGCCATGCGTCAACGTGACCTGCAGTAGACACCACAGATTCAAAGAAAAACAACTCTCCGCATAAGCTGACTTGGAGGGCCGACCCCATCCCTCACTCCTCCTGTCTACACCCGGCGGTATTATTCTGCCCACGACAAACTCCCGGTGACTGAAGGTGTGGGAAGCCAGCTCCTTCCACTCTGTCCTCGCCCCGACGCTAGCCAAAGCTCCCGATTCTCCATTAGCCCCCCGAAGTCGCCTCCCTTTCCTGGCCAGGGAGTGGGCCATAAGAAGGTGCAAGCCTTCCCGCTTCCCCCTCGGCCGCGACCCCTCTCGCACCGTCCGCCGTCCTCCCTCGCCTCGGCCCCAAGCCAATGCAGCCCAACTCCTCCTCCCGCCGGCCTCCCTCTTCCCACCCCCAACGGCTCTGAGGCCCGGGTCTCACCTCTCCACCCACTCCCTCAGGAAGCGCATTTCCTCGGCGTGCAGAATGCTCGGGTCCTGCTTACACATTTTCACGAAGGCCCGAAGCTCGCTCACTTTGCGGGGGTCCATTGTCCTCAGCTACAGGAGGCGGAGGACGCGGCTGAAGTGATTGTGGCCCGATTCCAGGGCCTGGCGCTAGCTCAGCGTGACCGCGTAGAAAGGGGTGGCTGCCTCGAGGCAGAAGAGACTAGAACCTCCCTGGCCGCTGGCTCCGCCCACGTAACGGTCTCGTGACCCCGGGTCCTTCGCTCGCTCATTTCTATCCCCGCCACCTGAGCTCCTGCGTACTGATTAGAACCTTCTAGAAGTGTGGCTGTCCGTACTGTTGCCTGCTTCTCTACGCACGTGCCAGTGCATTGGTTGGGTGAACCCCCTACTCGAGTGCTTTCAAGGTGGCGGGAGGTATCCGCCCCTCCAAGGAACCATTTAGAATCGGGCATTCTGTGAGTATACGCATGTAGTGAAGCATGACGCCATGACGCAATTAGGGCCGTCCGGGCGAAGCGGCGGGCACAGCCCTGGGCGTGACGTCAACGCGCCGCGCCGCGGCGGAAGGAAAGCCCGGTGAGCGGCGCCGTCCGGAAGGGGAGGGGCGGTTGCCCAGTTTCCTGGCGACGCATTCGTTCGGGCTGCAGCACTCCCAACGGTTTCCTTCTTCCTTTCTTGACGCGTGAGTGGGGTCATCATGCCCTGGCTACTCTCGGCTCCCAAGCTTGTTCGCGCCATAGCAAGTGCCCGCGGCCTCTCAGGTTAGACTCTCTTCCCACGGTGTCCCCTCTGAGACTTGCTCTCTGACAAGCCTCAGGCGCCTCAGACGGATCCAAGTTGGTCTCAGGCAAACCCTGGCTCGGCGGACCCTTCTGGGATCCCAGTTGGGGCCTCCGGCTCCAAAATCCTCTTGTGCGCTTCGCGGATTTCTTCATTCCCTGCTGCTCCTGGAAAAGGGTGGGCTCTGTGTTCCTTCTCCCGTTGAGTTATTCTGGGAAGCTGAAATGACTGCCACGAGAAAAGTATGTGCCATCCCCCAGAGGGGAATGCCTTCAAAGTGCCTCGGACTTGTAAAAGTTGTGTCAGTTACCGCACTCGTTTAAGTGACAAAGTCTCTCACATCAAGTAGCTCTTGTTTCTGTTAGGTCAATCTGAAACGCTGTTTTCGTGCTTTCAAAGAGATGGTTTGAGACCTGGCTTCCGAACGTACAAGAAACATGGTTAATAACACAAATCCTTTGAATCTTTCTCTCAAAAGAGGTACTGTTTGACAGTACTTGAGGTTTTGTTTTGTTTTGTTTTTCCTGAAATGTCAGTTTGTAAAAGTAAGATGAAGGAGCCCAGGGACCTTTTTCTTTTCTTTTTTAAGGGCGTGTTCTATCACTAGCAATCAAACTGGTGAACGTAGAGTTTCATCAGTGAAAACAGAATCATGAGACTTGCAGGGGAATCTGCAATTACGTCATATTTCAGTTTTAGGGGGTTGATTTGTGAATAGTGTGTGAACCAAGACATAACTGTATTTGACATCAAAGCTGTATACTAGGTCTGCATTTCTCATGTTGACACATTTGGATTCATCGCGAATGGATTGTTCGTTATAGCCTGACTTACTCTTTTACTAAAAATAAAATAAAAAGGAATGGTACACAAAACTTGCTCTTCAGTTCTGGTAATAAAGGTGCAGGAAACTGTCTCACTCTGTGGGGTAGGTGAAAAGACTGATGTGCGATTGGTCTGTGTTAATCACAGAGGTGACAACCTATGATTTTGAGCCGGAATCATCTTTTGCATGTGACTTTTTTTAATTTGTTGAGGCTCTGTGTAAAACCCTGATAATCAGGGTTTAGAATTAGAATTTGGATTACACATTCCAAGTTCTTTGAAAAGTATTCCTTATGCTGCAGTTTATTCAGTGGATAAATAAATTGAACAACCTATTGTATTAACAGGGAGCTCTGGTGGCGTAGTGCCCAAGGCATCTGACTGCTATCCAGAAGGCTGGCTGTTCAAACCCATCAGTCACTCCTAGGATAAAAGTTTGGGCAATCTACTTCCGCAGAGATACTAGAGCTACTGCCTCTGAAACCCGGGGAGGGGTCGCTATGAGTCGGGATCCACTCTATGGCAGTGAGTTTGGTTTGGTTCGGTTTATTGCATTAACACTGCAAGATAGATAGTGCCGTTTTAACTGAGTAAGTGATCTCCTTGGATCTTCGCAAATCCATTAACTTAGGGCAGAGAACTCCATTTTATTTGGGAGGAACTGAAACTAACACAGGATCTCAAAGTCGCTAGTTGGGAATATCGGTTATGTGATTGCAGTATCGTCTTTTTTGTGTTATCTCAACCCTAGGTCTTACCCTGGCATAGTAGAGTACTTTTGGAACTTTGAGTCAGAAAGGATGTAGCATCACTCAAAGCTTTTTGAGTTAGTAGTCATTGTGGATGCCATTTCCTTAGAGTGGCTTACAGTGTAATCAGAGAGACAGACAGACAACAGAAAAGTGACAGTCTACCAAAGTGCTTTTAATAGTCTTGACCCAGGTAACATGAGAGGTCAAGAAAGGTAGTGACAGGTTGTAAATATTATGTTATTCTTGGGTTTTATCAAGTTTTAGAATTTGACGATTTCACTGACTTTGAAGTACTCAGAAAGAAAGATAGTGCTCTTGGTTGCCTGTCTAGAAAGGTTTGCGGTACAGAAGATTGAAGACCGTAGGAAACTTCTCATCTGTGAAAGTTGTGCGTTCCTGAAGTGCAAGTGTTTTGACTAGTTAAAGATTAATCTAGCAAGACTGAGATTTCACTAGTCACATTGCAGCTGTCAACATCATATAGGCATCTGAAACAAGCAAAATAATATAAAACTTAAGTTGTATCTTAAAAGATTAAATCATGTAAGATAAATATAAGTCAGATATGAGCTAAGGAAATATTGCAAATAAATTTAAAAAAAAAACTGCCATCAAATTGGATCCGACTCTTAGCGACCCCTCCTTGGGTTTCTGAGGCAACACCGCCACAGAAGTAGATTGCCCAGTCTACCTTCCTAGGAGTGGCTGGTGGGTTTGAACCTCCAGTCTTCTGGTTAGCAGTCAAATGCCTTAGGCACTACACCATCAGAGCTAGAGCTCCTAAAGTATAAGTAGAGAATAGTTTTTTTAAAGGCCGTTTGCAGGTGATAGCTAATTCATTCAGTATATATTAATTGAGTACCAAATGCAAGCACTGAGCATAAAAAGCTTCTACCCTCGGGTGACGGACAAGTAGGCAAAAAATTGTAATGTGATGTACTAAATCTAGTGGGTCGCCATGGGTTGGAATAGACTCAGCAGCAACCAACAACTACAAATCCAGTAATAGAGATTCAGTTGTGTGGCAAAGGATGAAATGATGGCTATTTCCTGGGAGTAGGGAGGGACAGAGAGGATATGTGGCACACTTTCAAAGATTGGGAAGTGTTGATCTAGGGCACTTGAAAGAGCGTTTTCATCAAGCAGACTAGAGGAAAGGAGCCAGCCAGGCAGAGGGAACATACGCAAAGGCCCAGAAGTCTGAAGCAGAATGGCTGGTCCTAGGCATTGCAGTCCTTTCACATAGCTGCAGGAGTTTTTTGTGAAATATATTCCTGGGCATATTAATAGGTATTAGGCCCAAAAGCTTCTGTGATCAAATGAGTATGGGGAATGTGGCATTTCATAGTGTCCATGTTATAGTAATTCTAGGACTCTAGGAGGGATATTTGCAAAACGTGTTTGACCGTGGAATCCATTTTCTGTGATGAGTCTTGAACTGGTGTGACTTGGAGCATAATTTGGAAAAAGCTGGGCTCCAACATAAGATGTATAGGAAAAGATGCGGAGAAAGCTGGTGGCTGACTCATGGAGGGCCTAGTGTGTTAAGAAAAAGTGGGCTTCCTCCTGGGCAATGGAGTATTTTAAGCTGTTGAGTAAATACTAGTTATCTCTGTTAAAAGTGGAGAAGTGGACTAGGGGGCATGTCATTGCATTTCAGGATTTTTAGGGATACTGATTTTTGTTTTTGGAAAATTGCAATTTTTTTTCCTTCAATTTTGGTTGAAATTATCTCTTATCTTACATGATAAGAGATAAATTCTACTAAATATCACATCGTATCTAAACCAAAAAACAAACTCACTGTCATTGAGTCGATTCCGACTCATGGTGACCCCCTTTGGGTTTCCGAGTTGCTAAATCTTTATGGAAGTAGATTGCCCAGTCTTCCTTCCACGGAGTGGCTGGTGAGTTTGAACTGCCCTGGTTCTGGTTGGCAGTCAAATGCCTTAGGCACTATGCCACTAGAGCGCCTTTATTTTACATAAATAGCATTTTAAATAACCTTATTTATTTATTTTGGTTTTATTTTTCAAACACCTAAACTACTGCCATTGAGTCGATTCCGACTCATTGTGATCCCCGTTGGGTTTCCAAGGCTTCCACGTGTTGATGGAAGTAGATTGCTTCATCTTCTATTCATGGAACAGCTGGTGGGTTTGAACCGGTGACCTGGTTAGGAGCCAAACGTCCTATCCACGGCACTACCAGAGCTTCTTCTAAAAGTAAGCTTTAAATGTTAATTTTCTCCAGCCCCTCTTACAGAATAAATGACCTTTTCTCCCCACCCACCAAAGGAACAAAACACACTTTACTATGATACCCACTGCCACTGAATTGATTCCGACTCATAGCAACCCTTTGTTGTGTTGTTGTTGTTATGTGCTGTCGAGTCGGACCTGACTCACAGCTACCCCTCCTTGGGTTGCCAAGGCAGTATCACCACAGAAGTAGATTGTCCCATCTTCCTTCCGAGGAGTGGCTGGTGGGTTTCCCTTTAGGACGGAGTAAAATTACCCTATGGTATTTTCAAGACTGTAAATCTTTACAGAAGCAGACTGCCTCATCTTTCTCCAGTGGAGCAGCTGGTGGGTTTGAACACACTGACCTTTTGGTTAGTAGCTGAGTGCTTTAACCACTCCACCACCAATACTCCTTTGCTTTACTATAAAAAAAACCAAACCAAACTCACTGCCATCGAGTTGAATCCAACTCACAGTGAACCTTCCTTGGGTTTCTGAGGCGGTATCTCTACAGAAGTAGATTGCCCAGTCTTCCTTCTGAGGAGTGGCTGGTGGGTTTGAACTACCAGCCTTCTCATTAGCAGTCAAATGCTTTAGGTACTACACCACCAGAGCTATAGCAATCATGTAAAAGTACTAAAATCAAAGCAAACTCCCTGCTGTTGAGTCAGATCTAACTCATAGTGACCCCTCCTTGGGTTTCCGAGGCAGTATCACTATGGAAGTAGGTTGCCCAGCCTTCATTCTGAGGAGTGGCTGGTGAGTTTGAACCGGCAGCCTTCTGGTTAGCAGTCAAGTGCCAGACATTATAATTTTTCCTGGCTTGCAAATTTGTTGCCCTGCCAAAGATGATTGGGTTTTAATGCTGCTAGATTATTCCATGGCATCTTTCAATCACATTAAAATTTATAGGAATTACATTTCTAAGAAATAAAATATTCACAGAAAGTGGCCAGTAGCTCTTTTTGCTAAAAAGGAAGACTTCAGTGACAAGTAACATGATGTAAGTCATTGCAGGAGCCTCTTTTCAGTGCTTAGGGAATTCAGATGGCTTAAACATAGCATGTGAAAGCTTAACACCTGCAGTTTCAGGTAATGGCTACTCTGTTCTTCTAGTTGCAAAGGCCCAAAAATCTTGTCGTCCTTTACTTCGTGTTTATCATACCCAAAAACCGATGCAGCAAATCCTCTTAGCCCTACCTTTAAAACACAGACCGAATTTGATCACTCTTTACCACCCCCACTGCCAGCACACTGGACAGAGCTACCATGATCTCTTGCCTGCATTGTGGTAATCTCCTCATCTCCCTGCTTCTGTCCCTGCTTGCTTTGAGTATATTTTCAACAAGGTCAGCCAGAGTGGTCCTGTTTAAATATAAGTCAGATTATGTCTTGCCTTTGCTCAGAATCCCCAGTGGCCTGTTATCCTACTTACAATAGACGTCAAAGTTGAGCAACCAAAGTTCATACTGTGATCTAGCAGTCCCTGCATAATCTGACCTATTACTCCTCTGACATCATCTACTCACTCTTAATCTGCCACCCTGGTCTCTTTAGTGTTCCTCAAATAGGTTGCATTCTTTTCCTCCAGATAGCCGTTACCTCACTGTTTTTAGATCTTTATGCAAATGTAGCCATCACTTTTCCCAACTACCTTAGGTAAAATTTCATCTCTCCCAGCCGAAAACTTCACATTCCAATTTTCTGCTTTATTTTCTCTTTAGCGCTTATGACTAACAGACTATATTTTACCTAATACTTACGTTTATTGTTTTTGGTTTCTAAGATCTGGGAGGGCTGAGATTTTTGGTGACTTATTCATTACTATATCCAAGCACCAAGAACACTGCTTGGCAAATAATAGGTGCTCTAAAAATATTTGTGAATGATTGAAAACATGAACAAAAGAGTTTGAAGCAATATATCTTGAAAATGGAAGATTTACAGGGAGCTCTGGTAGCATAGTGGCTAAGACACTTGCCTGCTCACCAGAAGGCTGGCGGTTCAAACCCACCAGCCACTCCTCGGAAGGAAGGTT